TCCTTGACAAAAGCCTGGTCTGTATAAGCTGGCCCAGCCCCCTGTCCAGCCAAATCTTAAAAGTGTTCAATGCTGGGGACTCCACCACTTCCCTGGGAGATTATCCCAACGGCCGATTGTTCTTGTTGTGAAAAACTTTCTCCTTGTGTCCAATGGGAATGTCCCCAGGAGTAACTTGTACCCATCACCCTTCACCTTTTCCATGAGACTCCTTGTAAATCAGGAGTCTGTCTTCTTTGTAGCCACCCTTTAAATACTGGCACACGGTGAGGTCTTCCTGGAGCCTTCTCCTCTCAGGGCTGAACAAACCCAGTTCTCTCAGCCTGTCCTCCTACAGCAGCTTCCCAGTCCTCAGGTCATCTCTGTGGCCCTTCTCTGGACCCTCTCCAGCCTGTCCATGTCTGTTTTGTACAGCAGGGACCAAACCTGAACCCAGTATTCCAGAGGTGGCCTGACAAGCACTGAGTGGGACGACTTTTTATCTGTGCTCAGCATCCAGCACATGGCAGGATAATGAAACCCTCAGATAATGAAACCATTATGCTGCACCCTGAGGGGAGCTGTCCCAGAGCCTGACCCCCTCCAGCACCTACACAGACCCAGGTCAGCACCACCCCAACCAGTGAGCAGCACCCTGACCCCCTCCAGCACCTACACAGACCCAGGTCAGCACCACCCCAACCAGTGAGCAGCACCCTGACCCCCTCCAGCACCTACACAGACCCAGGTCAGCACCACCCCAACCAGTGAGCAGCACCCTGACCCCCTCCAGCACCTACACAGACCCAGGTCAGCACCACCCCAACCAGTGAGCAGCACCCTGACCCCCTCCAGCACCTACACAGACCCAGGTCAGCACCACCCCAACCAGTGAGCAGCACCCTGACCCCCTCCAGCACCTACACAGACCCAGGTCAGCACCACCCCAACCAGTGAGCAGCACCCTGACCCCCTCCAGCACCTACACAGACCCAGGTCAGCACCACCCCAACCAGTGAGCAGCACCCTGACCCCCTCCAGCACCTACACAGACCCAGGTCAGCACCACCCCAACCAGTGAGCAGCACCCTGACCCCCTCCAGCACCTACACAGACCCAGGTCAGCACCACCCCAACCAGTGAGCAGCACCCTGACCCCCTCCAGCACCTACACAGACCCAGGTCAGCACCACCCCAACCAGTGAGCAGCACCCTGACCCCCTCCAGCACCTACACAGACCCAGGTCAGCACCACCCCAACCAGTGAGCAGCACCCTGACCCCCTCCAGCACCTACACAGACCCAGGTCAGCACCACCCCAACCAGTGAGCAGCACCCTGACCCCCTCCAGCACCTTCTCAGACCCAGGTCAGCACCACCCCAACCAGTGAGCAGCACCCTGACCCCCTCCAGCACCTACACAGACCCAGGTCAGCACCACCCCAACCAGTGAGCAGCACCCTGACCCCCTCCAGCACCTACACAGACCCAGGTCAGCACCACCCCAACCAGTGAGCAGCACCCTGACCCCCTCCAGCACCACCACCCCAACCAGTGAGCAGCACCCATGGGCAGTGGCATGGGCTGAGGGGTCCCTGGGGTGCTCCCTGGCAGGAGACAACCCGAGGCTGAACCATCAGTTTGCAGAAGGGGGATGTGCCAGACACACTTGCACGGTGGGTGGAAGCTACAGAGAGCCCAAAGGGGAGCTGAAGGCAGCATCCCCTCCCAGCTGAAGCAGGGAACCTGGCTCCTTGGATGATTTATTTCTCTGAGCAGCCCCCCTGCCCACCACACCATCCCCTCTGCAGGTCCCCACGCTGCCGGCTCGCAGGTCGACTTTCCAGGAAGCCAAACACCACCATGGGTTCACAGAACATGGAGCAGCACAAGGCTTTATCTTCCTCTGACAGAAGAAGGGCACTGAACCTCCCACTGTGCAACACACATCTAACCCAGGTACTGGGTGTCCCCGTGGAGGGATCCTCTGCACGAGGAAATGCCACCCTGGCAACACCCACAGAGCTCCCTCCTGGAACCAGGATTGCAGGGGAGCAGCTGAGGGAGGGGAAGTGCTGGCAGAGTAACAGCAGAGTAACTCAGATCAGCAGCTTTTCCCACACTGACAAGTGTTTTGCCATGATTACATCTGCCCTCTGGATATTCCTGTATATTCTGATGAACAGTTCCACTGGGAACTCATCTCACCCCGAGATCTCTTTCCTCTGTGCACAGCACCCAGCAGAGTGGCCTTGCCAAGCAGTGCCCAGCAGGGAAGTTAAGGTGGTGACATCTCAGGCAGGTATGGATGTGTCAGCTGGAGCATGTTTTACTACTTCTAAAAAACCAAGTTTCCATTTCCAAGCTCATACATCTGGAATTCAAATCCTTGCAGCTCAATTTAGACACCAAGGTGGAATCCAGACCCAGGCTGATCAATGGAGCAGAAGGTCACCATGGAGCATCCCAAATCTGCCAGCCCCAAACAGAAGTGATACAGAAGCCTGGATGCCAAGTGAAGACATCAAAGGAATCAGTTTATTTTTGAGTGAGATGGGGGTTCTTCTGCCTGCTGCTTTCCTAGTTTTTGAGAGGCTACAGGGCAAACTGTCAAGGCCAGGAGCTGACTCTTTCCAAGCAAATAAACAAGACTGCTGCCTGTTCAACTGCCTCTGGGAGGAGGGACCACCACGTGAAACCATCACTGTGTCTTGATGAGAGCTCAGACCACTGCAGTTAATATTCAGTCCTTAAGGCCAGGTCATAGAATCACTAAGGTTGGAAAAGACCTCTAAGATCATCGAGTCAAATCATCACCCAACACCACCATGACCACTGAACCATGTCCCCAGATTCCATGTCTGCATGGTTTTTGAACCCCTCCAGGGCTGGGGACTCCAGCACCTCCCTGGGCAGCCTGGGCCAATGCTGAGCCACTCTGCCAGGAGAGAAATTCTTCCTAATCCAACCTAAACCTGTCCTGGTGCAACTTGAGCCCATTTCTTCTTGTCCTATTACTGGTTATTTGGGAGAAGAGACCAAAACTCACCTCCCTGCAGCCTCCTTTCAGGGAGTTGTAGAGAGCAAGAAGGTCTCCCCTCAGCCTCCTCTTCTCCAGAACTAACAAGCCCAAGTCTGGGCTCAGCTCCTGGGTGGACACCAGACTAGTGAGATAAGCAAGGATATGGCAGCAAGCCCCAGCATGCAATGATGATGTGTGACATGTAACCACACACAAAAAACCAAACCAAACTAGTGTAGCAACAGCACCAACAGAGCCACTACTAGCACTGAGTGCCTTACAGTCATTACATTTGACAAGGATGGGAAAGGAATCCATACAGAACCCACATGACAACAAAAAGAATTAGGGTTTCCTGCATGGTTTGACAGCTCTGAACATCTGCTGAGGACCTGCTCCACTTTGCCAACGTGCCATCACAGAAGTCTGCATGACTGCCAGCACTCAAGACTCAAAAATCAAAGGTAGAAAAGCAAAAGCTTTGGGAAGATGGCCCCAGGGATTGTTCACAGGGTGGCACACAGGACAAATGTTTTTTGAACTGTGAATGATAATTGCCACCTCTGAGGAACACAAAATGCATGTGAAACACTCCAGTGATGGCCTGGAAGCAAGAAGAAAAGCAAAGATTTCACACCCAGCAGTGTGAGCAGATCACAGCCAGAAGAAGAACATCTCTCCCTGCTCCACAGAGCCAACACCAACCAGCAAAACTGCCCCCAGGGCACAGCACTGGCCTGGCACTGCCCCCAGGGCATGGTGCTGGCCTGGCACTGCCCCCAGGGCAACCTCTGCAGTGCAGCAGGAGCTGCACCAGACACAAACACCTGACAAACCACCAGCTCCTGCATGGCCACCACCTCAGCTTGGGATCAGAAAGCTCCTGTGTTTACTCACTCCTCCTCCCAGCCCCTCAGGCTGTCTTGCTGCCAGGAGGGTGAGACCAGCTGGCCAGTGTTAAAACTGGTAGTGAGGAATTTCTGTCACAGAGGTTCCTGTGGCAGCATCAGCTTCAGTGCTGTCACCAAGTGTCCCAGGAAACAGCAAAAGAAACCAAGTGAGGTTAATCAACAGAGCTGAGACAGTCTTTCCAAACCCCTGTTTTCCTTTTAACCACAACCTGATGTTTTGAGCCCCTGTTGTCATCCCCAAACCACCTACATCTGCTGCTGCCCCCCCAAACTGGGGATCTCCAAGCAACTCACAGGAGCTGGGACGGTCGGGGGGGGTGGGCAGGTCACCCCATGTCCTGGGCAGGACACAGTGCCAGGAGGTTTCTCTGGGCACAGCAGGAGGGAGCACCCAGGAGAGCTGAGAGGGACACTGACCTGCACCACAGCAGAGCACAGCAGAGGCCCACAGTCGGTGCAGCAGCGGGCTCTCAACGCAGCTCTGATTAAAGTTTAACTTCAGGGAGTCCTGTGGCTCCAGAATTCCCTCTGCCACCTCTGTCCTAGCAAAGGAACACAAGAGTTGTTTCAGAATACAATGATTTACTAACCCGTGCTGGGAGGCGTTTCAGGTCACTAGGAAGCATGACAGAAACATGAGCTGGAGCAGTTGCAAGAGGAGCCCTGGCTGCACAGAAACCCCACCGGGGGGGCTCTGCCAAGCGCTCCTCTCGGGCGGTACTTTCGGTTCGCTGTGATAC